CACACACACACACACACACACACACACACACACACACACACACACACGGCTGGCAGCAGTGGGGTGAGAGGAAAGCTGTGGTAAAGACTGATGTCAACATCAGTATGAATGCGCACACACACACACACACACTCACAAAGCCCATCGTTATGTGGATATATGTAGATGATCTCACGCACACACACACACACTAGATTTATAATAGAAGAATGCATTCAGTCACTGCTCAGTCTGAAAAACAGGAAATATCTGACTAAATTTAAAACAGAAAATGAAATCAAAGAGAGATTCTCTCAGAGGGAGTTTGCTCTCTTTGCATTGATGTATTCACACTTGAATTTGGAGCCAATTTCAACTCCAACACACTGAGCTGGGAGGCCATTGGGGATTTTTGGACTTCTTTTTGGGCAAAATATCAGTGTATTCCTCTGCTGACTCCATCCTTCCATGTGAGAGTCTGAGTCTAGCTCAGCAGCACACGCAATACAAACATTTACTTTTTTTCTATCAACATGCTTTATCAACTCCTGCTGGATCACAGACATGCTGGGAGATGTAGTCGCCCATGTGAGTCCTCTAACAACAAGTAACTTATCGCACCAGAATCACTAAGACTAACTGATATCATCCACTGGAGATGGTGAGATACTGGAGCTCAGCTTTATCTTCACCTTCAGGACTACTTCAAGGAAGTCCATCATGGACGATCACCTGGATCGCTACCTTCGATCATGGACGATCACCTAAACTCTCAACACTACCTCCATCATGGACGATCACCTGGACTCTCAACACTACCTCGATCATGGACGATCACCTAGACTCTCAACACTACCTCCATCATGGACGATCACCTGGACCCTCAACACTACCTCCATCATGGACGATCACCTAGACCCTCAACACTACCTCCATCATGGACGATCACCTGGACTCTCAACACTACCTCCATCATGGACGATCACCTGGACCCTCAACACTACCTCCATCATGGACGATCACCTGGACCCTCAACACTACCTCCATCATGGACGATCACCTGGACCCTCAACACTACCTCTCTGGCCAAAAAAAGCATCACAAGGTGTGTACCTCCCATGGCAAAAAGTACAATCTAGGTTTGAAGAGACAGATGATATGTCACAAGTTGTTAGCTCCTCACACCTTGCTTCATGCCACAACCTTTTCACTCGTTTGTAGCAGAACTATGAGTCACAACCACATCACATCTGTTTCATCCTTCTTACAATAAGTTGTATTGTTTTATTTACTACAGTTATGTCTCTTCTTGGCCTTGCACATTGCTATAATTTGGACCTCTTGGTACCACACTCGCTGGAGATCTTCAGGCCGATGTCTCTTTCTGTTCCAGAGTCACGGCCTGAACCAGAGTGGACAGAGTCTTCACAGTCCAGGCCCTGAGGCTCTGGAACAACCTGCCCGAGGCAATAAGGCTGGCAAAGTCAGACCGTCTTTTTATTTTCATCAGAGAGCTTATCCTGAGTTCATCTTACTTTACTGGAATTGTCTTTTTTAAATATCGGATATTACTGGCATCGTTTGCTTTGCAATAAAATCGAATGATTTTAGTTTACTAGTTTACTTTGTAACTCGGGTTTTGATTATAACATCACCGGAGCGCCACAGAGACTCTCCAAAGCATTAGTGTCAAGATGTGGTGGGAGTGCAAAGCTTTAGATCCAGAGTTACTGAGGCAGAGAAAGAGTTGAGAACATCTTTACAGGTATTTCTGAAACAAACGCAGAGTGTTTGCACACTGGAGGACCAAATGTGCTCTGGCCGTATATATTTAGAATGTGGGCACGGGTTGACTTGTACTGAGAATAAACTCCAGTTGGCAGAACACGGAGCCAAGCTTTGAGCAAATGTTGACACCTGGAATTAGATCAGCAAAAAATGAGTCTGTAATGTGAGAGATTTTTACAATCTCAGACAAGATGTCTTTCTAGTCTCCAAAATCTAGTTGGCTTTGGAAAATGTTGAAATTTCACTGTTTTATTCTGATTTTTTAAAAAGTTTATATCTTGGAGATACAAGCTTTCCACCTAGTGTGGACCACAGGATGTGACATCACCTTCAGCTCAGTGTGGAATGGCCTTTTTAATTCAGTCAATATCAGCGTAAAGGTCAGCGAGGGGAAGTAAATGTCAGGCTTAATCCTGAGCGGATGGAAACGAACCTTGACTGAAAGTGAATTTCTAATGTGATGAATGAATGTGGACAGGGAGGAAGTGTCTGACGTACACAATATGGAGCCACAGCGATCACATTAGCTTGTTTGAGGGTGGAGAAGGAAAAAAAAAAAAAAGGGAAATGCACCGATAATTCATTCTGGCAGGACAGAAGTGTAAAACACAAACAATTATGAAGCCAAAAGACGAAGAAGAAGGATAGGGAGATGAAATCTGACCGCTTCTGACACGATTCATTAACTCAGAGAGGAGAGAGAAGTGTATACAACAAACACGGTCACACGGATCAGAACTACTGCTGAGAGGCTGAGAGCTTAACAGCATGAACCAAAACCTGGAGCACAGGAAGAAAAAAGTGTCCCAATGTTGCACAAAATACTTTAACCTCTAACAGAAACCAGGAAAAACGGTCTGACAACCAGCTGTGTCGATTGGTGACGGATTGATTACTGCATATCCAACTCAACTCTTTTAAATGACATTTCGACTCCTTTCAGCACCTCCACTTCTTTTAAGTTATTCAATTGTCAGGTCCGACTTCAACTTGAGCTGCTGCTGCTATAAAAAATAGAACCCGAGAGCAACAAAAAAAATCTTTTTTTAAGACATTTAAGCTGTTGCAACCAACGTTTCAACTCCTCAGTGAAAATATTGGCATCAGTATTATCACCTCAACTAACACTTCAACTCCTTTCAGTGCTTCCACTTCCACTAAAACTTCGACTCCTTTAATCCCATCCACCTGAACCGTCACACAAACTTCTCTCCTTGTGTTCGTTTTACAGTCATTTCCACTTCAGTGCCTTAGTTTCAAGTGCCACTTCGACTTCTTTCAGTGCCTCAAATTCCTGTCTCAGTTCATTTAGGAGCACCGACATCAGCCGTTACCACCACACGAATACATTTCAAAAGCTTCAAAGTATAAAATCTTCAGATATTCAATGCGAGTGTTGCAGTGGAAGAGAGTACACTTCATGTCCTTTACTTGGATGCCTTACTTTGCAGAGTATTAACACTTCTTTGCACATAATTTGTTTTTCATTATCTAAATAAACCCAAAATCTTAAGAGCTCCTGTGTCAACTGTCTGAAGTTAAAGTCCCAGATCTCATCACACTGCACATCCCCCTGACACTCGGGGAGAAAAGGAGGACAGAGTTTTCTTTGCCTGATAAGAGTACAAATTGATGAACCCAACAGCAATTGTACGAAGGACAAAGAGTTGGCTGACTTCTCGCAAGAAGGGCAGCCCAGGACGGGGGAAGCGGTTCGCTCTCTATTAATTTGGATCAGCAGGGGGGTAGAAAGCTAACAGTGTGGGGGTTTTAATTCAAAGAGAGCTGACAGGAAGTCAAAGATTAAAAGAGAGAAGAAGAAGACATCAGCAGCCTTACCTAGCTTGGGCAGTGAGTACTGGACTTTGAAGTAGTCCTGGTAAAATCCCAGAAGCCTCTTGGTGATGTGGAGAGCGTAGTCCCCTGCTCCGCTGGCAATGGCATCGGGCCGGGCGTACAAGCGGATCTAACAACACAAGACACAAACAGCGATCTAGAATCAGGCGGGTTTTAATAGAGATGGATATAGTAACAGATACAGGGAGAGGAAACGGATTCAGAGTCTGCTCAGCTCTGCACAGAACAAAATGGAATTAAGCCAAGTTTTTCATACGTGGAGGGAAATTACATTTGGCAAAGTTTACAATCAAATCTACAAGCAGACAAACAGAACAGGGTGTATTAGACTCTGCAGAGGACATAACACAATCAGGTTGACTTAAGTTCAAATCTGCAGAGACACGGAAAATAAATTTGAGAGGTTTTTTTTTGTCCAAATGTACACAGTCCAAGAAATGGAAGCAGGCCAGTGTGAGGCGGGTCAAGCCTTCAGAGAGGATGAGTGGATCAGCTCATGTTCAGCTCTCCTGACAAAATAATGGAGTCAGGTCGACTTTCGGTTCAAACAGATTTACAGCTGCAAGCAGAAAAATAACGACTTCTAAGAATCAAACAAACTGGAAGTCAACATTTTGCTTTTGGTGGATTCCAATATTTCTATTTTCAGTCCAATAAATGTTGGTAACCCTCCTTCCATTGCTTCTTTCTATTCTCTAATCCGTCAGTGTGACAAATTAGATCGACAAAAGTGTAACAAATTACAACAAATTATACAAATGAATCAGACATTGACACAAGACGTATGAAACAGATGCTGTGAATTGAATTTGGTAAAGATTTTTTTATCATTTCTATTAGTTGGAGTTTAATTGTTTGTGTGCATGTGTGAAAATGTGTTGTGTTATCGTCTCATTTAATCACAGATATGTCCGAGGAAAAGGAGGAGGAAATAAATAGATAAATGTTAATACTAATGTTGATAAGTACGCTCAATAACTGCATAAATACATGTGTAAGATCATAAATAAGTAAGCAAATAAAGAAATGACTACAAGAATAAAGTTATTCAATATTATTAGTATTGTCGATATTCATTACCAACATTAATGATAACATCGAAGTTAAACAATGGGGTTTCAAGTTTAGAGAATATTAGTTTGTTGGCGCTTTGCTTTTTGTTTTTACTAAAATATTCAAACAGATATATATTTGTAGTTGGTCGTGTTTGTCTTTTGTTACCCTGTTCTTTCAAAAATGGTGTTTATCCATTATACATGTTCCCCTTTGTGTTCAGTGGGTTGGATCAGTTCATGTTGAGTTACTACAGGTTGAGTAGCGTTCTGTGATAGAAAATAAACACTAAAATGCTTAATTTCAACAGTGAATTAGCCTTAAAAGTATTACACACATCAACACACATACAAGACCTCATCTGCCAAACGCCAATCAATAATCAATACCGCCAGGTCACATGACTGCAGTGACCTCATTGAAAGACCAACATGCTGACAGTGTGTGTGCTTGTGTGTCTGTTGTGGGATGTAATGAGATTTCTAAACATTTCTGTGGCTTTCAGACTATTTCTGTAATTTGGTTCAGGTCATGACGTGTATTTAATAATGTAACTCTGGGTACTATCTAAATGTAAAATAGCCCCAAAACCTGGACACAACTTTTACAGCAGCAGTACATCACTTTCCTCCCCGACACTGCGAATCACTCCGCCAAGCTGAGAAAAGATTGGTTAGGTTTAGTTAATAAAAATACTTGGTTATGGTTTTAAAAAAGATCATGTGTTAAAACAATAACATAACAAAGTAGCATCGTAACGCTACGACAGCGCCACGACGTAGCGCCACGACGTAGCGCCACGACGTAGCGCCACGACGTAGCGCCACAGCTTAAAGTAACAAGTAACACAGTTTGTGGAGCTTGTTTGTGGAGAACAGACTGAGATTCTCAACGTTTACCAGCGTTTTACGTCTGTCTGTGAAACTTTTGCAATGAAATAAATGAAAACAAAAACTTTGAGATCGATATTCTTAAATGGCTTTGGTACCAGCTTGGTATTTGTTGCTGTGGTTTCAATCTGCCCGCCTCTCTGTCAGAAACGTTTCACTTCAGCGACTCCCGACTGATTCTCTAAAGCGAAGTGATTCTCTCAGTCTGACGGACAGACAGACATCTGCTCCATCTCAGTCAATTTTCTTTATAAAAAAAAGAACACGTTTCTGGGCTAAAAGCAATTTGGAAAGAGAAAATGAGCTGCTGCTGCTGCTGCTGCTGCTAGAACCCCTCAGATTATTTAGACCCCCAGGTTGGGAACCAAGGGGTCATGAGATGATTAATGGGAGAAGAAGAAGAAGAAAGTAACTTTCTAATTAAGGGGTCACAAGCCAACAAGGTTGGAAACCGCTGGTTTAATCTTTAATTACACTTCATATTGTACAAGCATATCATATGTGTTTCATTTAAAACCCTTATCTCAAAAATACAGCTGTCAGATTAATGTAGTGGACTAAAAAGTATGAAGTTTTCCTGGTGAGAAAGTATAAAGAACCTTTATTGTAGTAATTTATTAAATATATTAATATACTTTCCAGCACTAGACTTTCTTTAAATCTCCTGGAATGATTCTCTCATCTCCGACTGCGAGATGGACGATCCAGTCTGAAGCGTTTCGTGGGATCTTTGAGCAGAAATGTAACATAATATTCACATGTTTTACCGAGTATATAATCCCCTGAAACCAAGAATCGTTGTGTCTTTGCCCTTCTTATCTACAGAGGACGCCGGTCCTATTCACAATGTCCTCCATGTTTCTACCGCAGCCCAGAACGGACAAACAAAACACAGACTCTAGAGACAGACTTCAGGGGCTAACGTTAGCCCCACAGTGCTAAACCGCGTTACCAGCCAGCCGCCGCCTGACTTCTGTTGCTCCTAAAGTAGCGTTATTACGGTAATGATGTGAACAACGTTACCAAAAAAGAGCAGCGAGCGGAGGGGTATATTCAGTTGGTTGCAACCTGCAACCACAATGCTAGATGTCCCCAGATCCTGCGCACTGGCCCTCTAATCAAACGCAAACACTGTCAGCTGACGGGTGGCGGTGATGTCACTGATCAATACGCATGTATCGACGCGGGGAATAAAAAGGAAGTGCCCGGACAGCTGAAGTTGAGTGTGTGTTTGAGTGTTGGATGGTTTTAGCGTCAGCGACAAACCACCTCAGCTGAAGGACGACAGAGATGAGCTATCAAACACACACACACACACACACACATATATACACACCATGATGTAATGCTGCTGTATCACTGCTGTCATTTCACACACACACACACACACACACACACACACACACACACACACACACACACACACACGTAAACATTACTTCCACTCTAATAAATCCTGTTTTCACTCCGCTGTAGAAACATATTGACGTCTGTACAGTCACAACACACTGTAAATCCTGCTCTGTATGTATCGCTGCGTTTGTGTCGTATCGAGCCGAATATAAAGCAGAATTTACAGGCGACGTCATTACACGCAAAGCCAACAGGAAGTTATGAAACCTTGCATCTGATTGTTTATACAAATATGGCGGTGAAATGTCATGCGGATATTCGTGGTTCCCAGAGGAGGAATCATTCCGACTCCTCCTCTGGCGCCACCGAGAGGTCAAACCTTGTTTTTGGTGTGAAATATCTCGACAACTGCTAATGTTAGCATTAGCTCAAAGCACCACCACCCACACTGAAATGAATGATTCAGTGTGAACGCAGCTTTAGTTTTGTTGACGTGGGGCTTCTAATGTTTAATCCGGCACCGACAGTCACTCTCACCGGTTACATTGACAAACACCACCAGCTGTGGACGATATCAGCTGTAATTAAAGTTAATTCTCTAAAGCTGAAGTTAAACTTTTGGCAGATTCTCAACATGCTCGCTGCACGTCTGAGGGAAACATCACGACCGCCAGTCCATCGTCACGTCACTTCCAGGAGAATTTCCCTGTTCAACAGTCATATCGTATCAATATTAATTCTTATAACTAAATCATTCTGAAGTAGGACCTCCAGTATGTGAAGGAAGTAGCTTGTGTAATAAAAGGCATACAATAAGAAGACTACACCCGTTATTGCAATATAACTCCACAGTACACTAATAAAAACTGTTTTTTCTACAGTTCAAGCCATGAACATACAGAGACACACATGCTAATACACACACTGATGCTCCTGGTATTGATAAATATGAATCCTGCTCCTCCTCTCCGTCTTCCTCGTCCTCTCCTCTCCCCCCAGCAGGACTGATTTTCAATAAAAATTCAAACTTTTAAAGCTCCTCTCCTCTTATTTCCCACATTCTCCTCCCTCCACCAGAACTCATCTCAAAGCGCGGCAGCCTGCCGAGTGAATATCTGCTCAGAAAGCGGAGGCTTTATTGAAATCGTGGCTTCTTTCGGTGGACTGGCAGCGAGCTGCTGAATTGAGAATCATCTCCTGAGGTTTCCTGAAACGCCTCCGGCCATGTTCTCCCAGGTGAGGAGAAACCATTCTTCGATGCGGAGGGGGGGGGGTTGGTGTGATGTTGTCACTTCAAAGTATCATCACATATCCATTCAATACGTCTCCTAGGACTGAAATGTGCTGCTTAAACCGAACTAAAAGCACGGCACGGTGGCTCAACAGTTCAGAGCGTCGCCTCACAGGAAAGAGATCCCGGTTTAAACCCGACCCGCTGAGTGTCCGTGTTCTGTCCGTGCATCTAAAAAACATGTGAGTGAGCTGCAGTGGGAACTTTAAATTGCCCCTCAGTGTGTAAGTGGGTGTGAAAGCTTGTCGGTCATGTTTCCTGTGGGTGTGTACCCTGCCGCTCACCCAATGCATGCTGGGATCCACCCCCCGTGTGGCCCTGCTAAGCTGTTTAGAAAATATAGATGAATGAAAAATGAGGAATATTTCAGTCCCCTCAGGATGTCGTCTTCAATCCATTCCACAAATCTGAGGAATGTTTGCAAATGTGACCGATCAAACAAACATTACGTTACATTACAGTCATTTAGCAGACGCTTTTTTCCAAAGCGACTTACAATAAGTGAATTCAACTTCGGTTTTC